TGGTTTTTCCAGTGGTCATGTATGGATGTGAGAGTTGGACTGTGAAGAAAGCTGAATGCCGAAGAATTGATGCTTTTGAACTGTGGTGTTGGAGAAGACTCTTGAGAGTCCCTTGGACTGCAAGGAGATCCAACCTGTCCATCCTAAAGGAGATAAGTCCTGGGTTTTCATTGGAAGGACTGATGCTGAAGCTGAAACTCCAATACTTTAGCCACCTCATGCAAAGTGCTGACTCATTGGAAAAAACCCTGATGCTGGGAGGGATTGGGGGCAGGAGGAGAAGGGGACGATAGAAGATGAGATGGCTGGATGGCATCACTGTCTCGATGGACATGAGTTTGAGTAAACTCCGGGAGTTGGTGATGGACAGGGAGGCCTGGCGTGCTGTGATTCATGGGGTCGCGAAGAGTCAGACACGACTGAGCGACTGAACTGAACTGAACACTAGTTTTAAGTCATAAAGCAAGTGTAAATTTTTTAAGAGATTTTTCCTGTAAAACTTATAAGACAAGCATTATGGATTTCCTTTTACTAATTAACATTACTTTGTGTGATTTATAATCAAAAAGAAAAGTGCTGGGTAACAGAATAACTTTAGTGAAAAATACTGCAATTCAAACAAAAAAGGTCTCTTGTTTAATAGACTTACTCAGATTTCAGGCATTTTAGGAATTTGAATATATCTGAAAATTACCTAATAAAATTTTAAAGTTAATTTCTTACTGAAAATAATCTTAACTACTTTTCATATTCATAATAATATATTGCACTATTATGGAACAAAAATATTTCATAATCTGTGTCTACTATGAGAAATGCATGTGAAAATTAACCACAAAAATAAAATAATCCATTAAGCTTAATGGTGCTCATTCGGCCTAACTATTCTGCACAATTTTTCAGTTTGAACAACAGCCAAGTAAGCCAAGAAAGAAAGTGAAGTCACTCAGTCATGTCCAACTATTTGTGACCCCATGGACTGTAGCCTACCAGGCTTCTCTGTCCATGGGATTTTCCAGGCAAGAGTACTGAACTGGGTTGCCATTTGCTCCTCTAGGGTATCTTCCTGAGTCAGGGATCGAACCCGAGTCTCCCACATTGCAGGCAGACTCTTTATCATCTGAGCCACCAGGGAAGCCTAAGTAAACCAAAACATGTGCCCCAAAAAAAAAAAATTCCACTAATCTTCTGTTCAGCTTAAAGCTTGTACTGAACCCTTCATTTGTGTCAATAGACATACAAGATATTACTGTCACCTCCAGGAGTTCCCAGTTCTCTGAAAGAAAGTACATATCAGGTCTCTTCCATTTATAAATAATAGAAAGTACTTCCCAGAATGGCTTAAACGAAAAAGGGATTTTATGGGTTAGTCTAGTTTCAGAAGTAGCTTGATTCTGCAACTTAAGCATATTACCAATCTCTTCAGCTCCACATTCTCTGAGTTAAATCAGTGCACACTCTGGCTCTTCAGATGGATAACTGCAGCAATCCCAATCCCAGATCTCACATTTCAGGTATCTACAGAAACCTCAGCAAAAGCCTCACATTATCCATTGTCTATGACTGGCCAGTCCCTGAGTCATCTGTAGTCGAAGAGCTAAGGTGTGTGTGTGTTAGTTAGTCAGTTGTGTCCAACTCTTTGCAACCCTATGAATCCTGCCAGGCTTCTCTGTCCATGCAGTTCTCCAGGTAAGAATACTGGAGTGCACAGCCATTCCCTTCTCCAGGGGATCTTCCTGAACCAGGGATCAGACCCAGGTCTCCTGCATTCTTTACCATCTTGTCATTTTTCAGTTCATAGATTTCTTTAAAATTTGATGAACACTTCCTCGTAAAAATACATACACATGTGATAATTTGCCCAGACGTCCATGGTCCCTGGGTTTAAAAAAAAAAAAAAGTGATCATAGATCTACTAAAGTTCTTTATTATAAAAGCAAGAACTTCTGCAATTTCACTGGTTTTTGTTTTGCTTTTGCTTTTAAGATCCTCTCTTGACTTTTTTGAACTTTTTCAGAAAATTTTAATGTGGTTATCTTAAAAATCACAGACTACCCATCATCTGTTTATTATAATGCTAATAATAACATAATGAGCCGAATTCTCTGAAGCAGGAAAATAGGGCCAGAAAGACCTTTCAGAAGGAAAATGTCTTTTGATGATCTGGGCTCTTATTTCTAAATATGGTGAGTTAAGCTGGAGGAAGGGCCTCCGTAACAGCTCATTGTTTTCTATCCTGTTAAAAAGCAGGTTTTATATAAGCATCAGTATGATATCAGTATGTTGATATATAAGCATCAGTATGTTGAATCTGTTTTTAGCTCATACAAGAGAACCTACAGTAGTGCTTGTTCACTGAGTCGGGGACTCATAAGCCTTTAAAATCTGCCAGTGGTCCATAGCATTCTCAGGAGACGTCTCCTCTAGACAGAGTGCAAACAACAACAGCCAAGAAACTTGCTCGTACAGTGGAGTGACTCTGGGAAACCTACTGCTGACACTTAGAATGAGAAAACGGACAAAACATTACAGACTTGGTAAAATCAGCACCCAAAGTAAAGAGATTTTTCCCTTCTAAAGACGGGGCAGTAACTATCTAACTCCATCCCACTGGGTTACTAGGAAAAACAGGCTGGGGACTTCCCTGGCAGCCCAGGGGTTAGGACTCCATGCTTTTGCTGCTATGGGTCCAGGTTCAATCCCTGGTCAGGGAACTAAGATCCCTCAAGCCGCATGGCATGGCCAAAGAAAAAGAAAGATAAAATAAATGGAAAAACAGGCTGGCAAAGCTCAGTGCCCCCTGTCAAAACAGATTTTAAGAAATTCTGGCAATGTCAGCCAGGCCTAGAAAGTGCTCCTCATCTAGGAAGGACAAAGCCCTAAAACTATAGATGTTTTGAAAATGATCTTCCCAGGTATCAATTATACTAAGCCAGTAATAAGAACATATAAACATCTAAATGTATTGTGTGTACATATATATATATACACATATATGCACATATATACATATATATGTGTGTAACATGTAAGAATCAACATTTATTAGATAAATATGCTTGTAGAGAAGAAAATCAAAACACAATTAAAAATTGCCAAAAGCCCATTTACCATGAAATACCAGCTATTTATAAGATTCTGTAGCAGTGTTTTGCTTTGGAAATAAAACAGTATAATTAACCTGGGAGAAAATAGTCTTTTAAATTAAGTATAATCTGCTTCTTGTGGCTTTTGTCAGGCTGAATGCCATTTCTCTGGGATTAATGGCTTTTTTCTTCCTATAGGATCCATGTCCCCTTTGTGATGAAGCCAAGGAAGTACTGGGGCCTTATAAAAACCGGGTAATATGATACACTATAGCTTTATGTATATGGAATGGATAGTATATGTAGTATAAGACAAAGCATCTGTCTGGATCCTTTCTTTAGGAAAAGACATTGAATGATTTTTCATTTAAATTTTCTTTCTGTTCTTTAGAGAGACTTTAGTGCTGATTTCCATAAAAGTCATTACACCTAAGTGTTTTTCTCTGAGCAGCATTGGTTTTCTTACTCTGACTGTTAAAATGAGTCAAAGTTAACCAGCAGGTACAGTATTCATGCTTTAAGCTTTTGTCCCTATTCCTTTTATGTTATTTTGTCATTTCCATGGAAGTGTTTTCCAGTTGCAAACTGTGACACCTTTCCCAATCTTCCAGTCCAAACATGTCTTTCTTGAGTCTCAGGCAGCTTCCCAGTTGGGGACATAGTTTATTTCATTTCAACTGAGTAGTAATGCTGAACCTCACAGATAGAACAGAAAAGTAGCGAACTGGAGAATTAAGGAATATAAAGAAATAAATCAGGTTGGGGAAATCAAGGTCATTAGATGACTGTGGACCTCAAGTAAACAACAACAGTAAAAAAAAATCTCTGAGTGTTAGACCTGGTCTGGGGATCAGTTTGTCACTATAACCATTGCATTGTTCCATGTTGCTGAAAAATAGAGCTTTACTCTGTCTCTGTTTCAGTTTATTTTACAGGAAGTGGACATCACACTTCCAGAAAACTCTGCTTGGTATGACAGGTATAAATTTGACATCCCCGTCTTTCATTTGAATGGCCAGTTTCTGATGATGCATCGAGTAAACATCTCAAAACTTGAAAAACAGCTCCAGAAACTTGAGCAGCAAGGTGCAAGAGGCTGACAAACACCCTCATGATTTTCTACCTTCTCTGTCCAGAACGTGTTTTCCTAAGGAAATGACCGTGGCTTCAAACTCCTTTTGTCATTTTCACACAGCTCTACAGATGTTCTGAACTCAGTGGTGCCAGATAGTGATATTCCTCTTGTGATTAATGGAAGTACCAATGTGGGAACTGTTTACGTGCTGGCATTTTATAAAATAAGTGGAGTGTATTGGCAGGGAGGGGATAATGGAAGGCAGGAGAAATCCACTTGTTCTATTTATTTTACTCTTTTGTATTAATATGGAAGCATCTCACTTTCACTGGACACAGCCGTTTATAAGAAGAAGGCTCTGTGTCCCTGCTGCTGCCCTAAGGGCTTAACTTTTTAATGAAAGAATAAATGTTCTTCCACTTGGTAGATAAAGTGAAATGTGAATTGCTAATAAGTGTACACAGTCAATAAAAGGATGTTTTAACAAATACATCTGCATGAAGTCTATTTCAGAGGAATTTAATAATACCTGTTTAAAATTAGAGCTCATTTTTTTGGACAGAAGAGAATAAACTATCCTAGCCAAAGACATTCCATTTGAGAAAAACAAAAGGCTTGAAGCCCAAAATGTATGTAAGGATTTCAACATATTTTATACATAGTCAGTGAACTGATTTGTAATATTTGAGTACTGCCTTTCAGAGTTTTTCAGTTATTATCAATTGAGTTAATTGAGCATATTTTAAGATAGTGGTTTTGTCAGGTTTTAATATCTTGGGGAAAATTCACATCTGACCATAACTGAACAGATATGTCACCTAAAGACAAGATACTCTTTACCACCTTATGTAAAGTATTAAAAATGTAGTTTTGTTCTCTTAATTTGTAGTCAGGTTCAGCCAATAGAGGAATCAATTCATTTAGAAACATAACTGCCTTTTTCTCTTAAAATCACATCATTGCAATTTCATCTATAATGAAATTCTTTTGTGAACTATGTCAATGAATTTGGGTATTGTGAGTCACTTAGCTGGATTTTAATTTTATCAGTGTAAGTTAGTCTTAGAAATTAGAGAATTCTAAAGCTGGCCAATCTTAGACATTGTTTAGATCTACCCCCCTCATTTTATACACGAAAAGGACTCTGACATTCAGAGTTTCAGGAAGTTAACTAAGTCACACAGCCAGTCAGATGTTAGACTAGGTCTTGCCACACACCCCACATCTCTAGTACCACCTGGGTGGGGGCCTTGTGTTCTCTCAGAGAAAGCATTCTTAACCATTCTGGACCAACACAAATTAAGAAACTTTACAAACCTTCCAAAATAACAACAGGAAAAAGAAATCTTACAATTGAATGTCAGTGTTCCTAATTTATAAATTTTGGAACATATGTCATTTGATTTTATAAATATTCATTGAGCCCTATGGTAGACAAAATTCTAGGAGGACCCTAATGAACCATTTACCCTTGTATTCTCTCCCTTTTGAATATGGGTGAAACTTACAGATAGGATGAAATATCCCTGCTGTGATTATGTTACATTACAGGGCAAAAGGAAGATGAACTAGGGTGAGCCTGGTCTAATCAGGTGAGCCCATTAAAAGCAGCCTGGTTCTCTCTGGCTGGTTGCAGAAAATGATATCAAAGAGATTTGCTCCCTCTCTAGCTGCCGTCTTGCGTCCCCGCATGTGTGTGCCTAACCTCAGCTGATCTGCCCAAGACCACCTGAGCACCAACCCTAGTCCCATGCACGCCCCCATTTCTGCTCCAAGAAGATGAAAGAAACTATCATGAATCAAGAGAAACTCACCAAACTGCAGGCACAAGTGTGCATTGGTGGGAAAGGAACTGCTTGCAGAAAGAAGAAGGTGGCTCATAGAACAGCCACAGCAGATGACAAAAAAACCAGTTCTCTTTTAAAGAAGTTGGGGTAGACAATATCTCTGTTACTGAAGAGGTGAATATGTTCACAAATCAAGGAACGGTGATCCACTTTAACAACCCTAAAGTTCAGGCATCTCTGGCAGCAAACACCTTCACCATTGCAGGCCATGCTGAGTCAAAGCAACTGGCAGAAATGCTCCCCAGCATCTTAAACCAACTTGGCACAGACAGTCTGATCAGTTTAAGGAGACTGGCGGAAGCTCTGCCCAAACAGTCTGTGGATGGAAAAGCACCACTTGCCACTGGAGCGGATGATGATGATGAAGTCCCTGATCTTGTGGAGAATTTTGATGAGGCTTCCAAGAGTGAAACAAACTGAACTGAGTTAACTTCTGAAGAAAAGAAATCTTGAAGAAGTTACTGGAAGCTGCTATTTTATATTATGACTGCTTTTTAAAATTTTGTTTATGGATCTGATAAAATCTAGATCTCTTAATATTTTTAATCCTAAGTCCCTGGACACTGCAGCTCTTTTCAGTTTTTGCTTATATACAATTCATTCTTTGCAGCTAATTAAGCTGAAGAAGCCTAAGAATAAATTTGAAACAAAGATAAATAAAATTCCTTGCCTAGTGAAAAAAAGAGAGAGAGAAAGAGAAAGATGTGCTGCTACCAGCCTGGAAAGAATCAGACATCAGTGTTGTGAACTGCCAACAAAGCAAGGAACTGGGCAACCTCTGGGAGCTGAGTAGTACCTGGCCAACAGCCAGTAGGAAAATGACATCAGTCCTACAGCTTCAAGGAGATGAATCCTGTTAACAATCTAGAAGAGGCCCATGAAACCCAGGTGAGAATCTCAGCCCTGGGTTATTTATATCTTGGGTTCAGCTCAGTGAGAATTTGATCAGAGAATTCAGCCACACCATGCCTAGACATCTAGGCATCTGATCTACAGACACTATGAGATAATAAATGTGTATTATTTCAAGTGCTAAGTTTGTTGTAATTTTTTACACAGCAATAGAAAACTAATAGAAGTCCTTACAACACTGAAGCTCAGTGGGAGGTGGTGGGAGTATAAAAGTGAATCAGGCACAGTCCTTGTCTCAGAGACACTCACTGTCTCAGGCAGCAGCGAGAGGCAAGTTAACGAAGCACTACGATGTAGCATTGTGAGAGCTGGAGCTGAGACGTGAAAAATGGTACAGCAGCCAGATGGGGAAAGTGGCAGGAAGACATCACAGAAAATTAGACTTAAATTAGGTGAAGAGTAAAAGAGTGTGGAAGGGCATGGCATATTTAGAAAATGGCAGATGGCTTTGTGTGGCTGGCATGAAGGGGAGGGAAGTGAAGGGCATAAGACTGATGAAATAGATAGAGGTCCACATTGTGAAGGACCTCAGGTAAGGTGGTGTTTTCCCTGCAGCAGTGCCCTCCCTTCCTCCCTGCCCTCGCCCAGAATCAGCCCTTCTGGCTCCTGAGTCCTCAGAGGTATCTGGCCTCTCTACTCCAGCCCTGCTCAGTCCTCAAGCATGCTAAGCTCAGAAGTCCCCCGAGGAGCCCTACAGGACATTGACATCTTCCGTACAACCAGGGCTGAGGGGGCCATAGACAAGATTGCCCTCTCGTGTGTCTGGGCACCTGTGTTCCTCCCTCCCTGCTCCAGGCAACTTGAAATCTACACGCCCGTGTCCTAGGACTGTTGATCCAAGAGCTTCAGGCTCTGCTGAGCTAAGAGGGAGAGAATCCACTGGTTCCCTTCAGAAATCGGGGCTGGCCAGAGACCCTGGAGGTTGTTCTCTTGGACCACTTTTTGCTTAAGGATAGCCCTGTAATCATAGGCATGGAGGATCTGCAGGGACTTCATCCAAACAACACATTTCTGACATTAGGATTTCAAACAAGCAAACAAGAGAAAGGATATTTGGAGGATGTTTTAAAAGAAAAATATGCTCTCACTTCCCACCGAAGTAAAAAGTTGGGGTCACATATTGTCAAGAACAAGGGACATAAGTGCAATTCATCAGAAAGCCTAATATATGTCCCTGGGTAGGAAGAACACAGTGATCTATTTCCCTTTTGGACAATCACGTGAAAGAAGAGCTTTCAAGCATTTCTGGTGTGGAGTAAAGAAGGACAGCTGCTGCCCCAAGTTTGTCCAGGGAAGAAGGGGTAGGTGGGTGTATGTTCAGGGATCAGATGTGTGCCAAATGTGAGAGAAGGCAGGCTGGGGAAAGCCTTGGGCACAGGCAGGCCTCAGAGGAGGCCAAGCGGAGGGAGAAGACTGGTTCCTCGGGCTGAGGAAGCAGGTGGCTGCTCAAGTGGAGAGCGCATTTGCCTGAATCAAGGAAATAGCAGGTGAATGATACCATCTAGGATTGCAGCCTCCCACAAACCTGCGGAAGTCTCTGTGAAATGTCTGCACCACAGCTCCAGAAGGGTCAGAACCTGGCAGAAGCAGGAAAAGACCTTCTCCTTCCTCAGCTGACTGACGACACGTGCCTTCTCGCTGGGGTAAGACGTAATTTTAAACCAAGTTCCACATTATGCAACATAGGAATTGATGCACTAAAGGTGATTTAGAGTGACCAAGGATTTTCTGTTGCCTGTTGTTGTCACTAAGCTATGTCCAACTCTGTGACCCCATGGACTGTAGCACGCCAGGCTTCCCTGTCCTTCACTGTCTCCAGGAGTTTGCTCAGATTCACGTTCACTGAGTTGGTGATGCCATCCCACCACCTCATCCTCTGCCATCCCCTTCTCCTCCTGCCTTCAGTCTTTCCTAGCATCAGGGTCTTTTCCAATGAGTTGGCTCTTTGCATCAGATGGCCAAAGTATTGGAACTTCAATTTCAGCATCAGTCCTTCCAATGAATATTCAGGGTTAATTTTCTTAGGATTGACTGCTTGCCTAAGATTTCTGTTGCCTAAGAATGCTCAAAATAGTCCTAATACTACCTAGTTTTTATTTTGCCCTAAACAGAGGAAGAAACTCCCAATGAATACATTTTATAGAGATAGAGGGAAACATAAATAAACATGCTTTCTAATTGTATTCCATATTCAGAGCATTGATTGCATGTACCTAATGTTTTTTACCGATAGATCTTCAATGAATTTAATTATGCTTATTTGAGAGAGGAATCCAGTCCTATGTCTAAGATTCCTGGAGAGCTTCAGTAATCCCTCTGGTCTCAACAGCTGGAAAATCGAAAGGCAACGCTCTGGAAACATGTCATCTAATTATCCCACCATTGCTAAGCATCAGACAATGTTATGTCACTTATTATAGTCATTTTTGTATCATATTTGTAGCAGCAATTACTTTTCCTTTCTAAAATTATGTTTAGGGATCAATTTCTTGACTGATTTTGACACAAGAAGCTCATAATATTCTCCCACTCCCAGAGGAAATAGTGAAAAACCTTCTCTTTTTTTCCTAAACTAATGTTTAAAAATGAAGTGGAATGAACACTGGGTTTGGGACTGCACATTGCTGCTTTTGGTTACAGCGCTGCTTTCTTCCAGATGTCTCATCAGAACACGGTAACGGCTTACTGGAACACATAACTCTTGGGCCAATTTATTGAAGGAAACAGGTTCAC